TATCTGACTGACTTTGCTCTTTCCCTTTTGATTAGGTCTCAGATGCTACAGAGTTATATGCCAAGGCCTAGATTCCCGTCTGTGTGGGAAAGGTCATACTAAAGGCTGTGATTGTGTTTCCCTGTATGACATTAACCACTTCTGCGTCTAATCTGTTCATTTTACGCCAACGGTCTTTTGTAGGAAATGCCTGCAGACACTCACTTTCATCATCAGTTTATTTAAGCATCCTACAAGGTCGTGGATGAGGTCAGTCACTGGGGCTGCCTCTGTACCCTTCCTTCCCCTCTACCAGTCTTGGCTACTACTGGCTGAAACTAAGTTTTGAAACTCAAATAAAGCCACCTAGGTAATGCTCAAGAGAGGAACAAACTCTTTCACAAGCCTTGGCTGTGGTGAATAGGTGAGGATTTCAAAGTAAAGAGTTTGTCTCAGTATGGGAACACAAACTTCATGAGATCCCTGTGCTTCCTGGTTCTCTACTGCCCTCCAGGTCCAAGAACACTGTGGCATCAAACGGTAGACTCTCACTGACATACAGAGACGTACACATGATAATGGATTATCAAGTCATAGAGTTTCATTATCATGGTGCAGGCCTGTAATCCCAGCACTTGTGGAGGCAGGAGGATCTCAAGTTCAAGGCCAGCCTGGTCTACATAGTGAGACTCTGTCTTGAAGAAAAGAGAAGTCAAAGTCTTAGAGTTTCAGAAGGGAAATTTAAGAGTCCAGGTGTCATAGTATCCCTAGAGCCTACCAACATGGATTGAACATAGATCGGGAGGACGTCTCCTGAGCCAGTGACTAGGGAGAGTCTCCCTGTTCTCTGTCAAAAATGTGTGTTCTTATCTTTGGAAGGAATTTTCAAGTCCCCCTTAAATCTCTACTTTTCCAGGTCAACCATTACTATTCTTTTAGCTTGAGGGCAGACTTCAGCTTCTTCTCCAATCTTGTAATAATAATAGTCTACATTTAGTAAGCAACAATCATGGGCCAGCCTGCATTGTTGAAATGCTTAATATGCATCCATCTGTAATCCTCGTAACAACCCTGTATGGTAGGCGATACTGTAATATCTACTTTATTACATTTATGTGTGTGCATGTGTGTGTATGTTTGCATGTATGCATATGCCATGGTGTACAGATGGAGGTCTGAATACAGCTTGTAGGAGTCAGTTCTCTCCTTCCATCATGTAGGTCTCAGGAATTGAACTCAGGTTGTCAGGCTTGGCAGCAAGTACCTTTACCTATCTCTTCGGCCCTGCTTCTTAATCTCTTTGTATTGCCTCATTTTTTTTACCTTTCAAAAATTTCAGGCTTCCTACAGAGTGTGAGTCTCAGGGAAGAACTTGTGAGTTTTCACAGCAGAGGTCAAAAAGACTGTCATCTATGGCTGATCTATATTCCCTAGATAGCAATGTGAGGCGCCACAGCCCTCCTCTGGAGTAGTGTAACATGTAGCCTGCACTGTGACAGGTGGCATCCCATCTCTGTGTGTGTGTGTGTGTGTGTGTGTGTGTGTGTGTGTGTGTGAGAGAGAGAAAGAGAGAGAGAGAGAGAGAGAGAGAGAGGTCTGGGTGCTCCTTGTCATGCGAAAGGTTTTCCTGAGAGCTGCCAGAGGGAGGGAGCGATGTCATGGGAAATGCATGTTGAACATGTGATTAGACAAAGTCTGGGGGATGCGGAGGACCCTTGGGGCTGCCTCTAAGCACAATCTTCTGAAAAGTATCATGACTTCATCTTACAGTAACACATCCTAAGCACCTCCTTTCTTCACCCACTCCGTGAGTCAGTGACACTTTTGAGGGCTGTAACATCTTTTTGAGAAACTCTGGCAGCCAGAATTCTTGATTCCTCACTCATAACTCACTTCCTGTCCCTGTGTTCATGCTCAGTAGTTGCAGGAACTCAGGCCATGGAGATGCTGCACACCTTCAGGATAAGCTGACCTCTCTGATTCTCTCAGGTGTGACTTTGCTCGATACTGCCACGACACAATCCCTGTACCTTCCTAACCTGGACAATGTGTGATCTGGGACTGGTCCCAAGCCTCCTAGACCCTGAAAGCTGTGCATCTTAGCATGGGCCTAAAAAGGAGAGGGCAACAGGACTAACGTGCCCTGAATAGCTCAGGTGTATAAGCTGTGGCTCTGAAGAAGGGGAAGGAGGACCTGAGTCTTTGAGACTTGCTTCAGCTATACATGAAGAAGCTGATTTACAAAGGCAGTTCCCAGAATTCCTGGCAAGCATAACACAGACTCACAGCTTCTAGTCAAATCCATGTCAGCACAAAGGAACTCGAGAAAAACAAGTTGTCAGAGCTGGTAGAGCTGGGTTTAGAGCAGGCTCAGTCCAACTCCATTATATACAGATGGGAAGACAGGTCCAGATGGAACTGGTCAATAGGGGTGGGAGGGGACTGGCACCCTCATTACCTATGAGTAGTGATGCTGACTGACAGGGCAAATTTGGAAAGCCCTCTGGGATGGCAAGTTTGATTAGGATGGTGACTGCACTGAATGCAAAAGTAGGAATTCACTGGACTAACCAGGTAAGTTACATATAATTCAGTCTAAAGCTACATCCCAACAACAGAGTAAAACGAACTAAAGAGGCTAAGGTGACACTGTGAGATCAAGCCTAGGATCCAGCCCTCCTCATATCCCCTACATTTCCCCTCCATGACTCCACTGTATTGCTGCTACCATAGCAACTCAGAGATGCTTCAGGAGTCACTGAGGGGACAGTGTTACGTCTATGTCTCTTTGCCTAGAGGGGATAACAGCCCTGCTTCCTGGGACTGTGATGGGAGTGGCATCCTTGACGATCTTGACATCCCCATTGGCATCACCCTTCCCTTTCCTTGAGGAACTGGGCACAAATCTCCATGGTCCATTGCTACAAAGTGCCTGGGTCTAATGGCTTCCCTTCCTTCCCTCTCACTCTTTCTGTGCCTCTCCTGGTGTCATCCCATCTCTATTACTGGATTTTTCTGAGATGGCAAAGTCCATGAGTCACACTCCTGGTCTCTATCATGAGCCATATCCCAGTGTTCCTTTCAGAGAGTCCTCTCATGTTTTGCAGCACAGATGGATCGAAACTTCTCCAAGTCTGCAGAGCAAGTGAGGTCACAAGGGTGGAGCCCTGAACCAAAAGAATTGCTGTTCTTATAAGACCTGACAGCCGCAATGCATTCCCACCCTACCCTGTGAGTGTAGGATGAAGGAGGCCGCCTGAAAGTTAAGCAATGGTCCTCAATGACAAATTTGCCAGCATTTAGACCTTGAAATTTCTGATCTCCAGAATTGTGAGAAAGACATTGCTACTACTTAAAATGACTTAGCCTGTGGTATTTTGTTTTGATAGCATGAGAAGATTAATACAGATCATGGTCACTAAAAGGGAACACACATCAACCCTGTGGTTTAATAATTCTACCTTAAGGTATAAATCAAAAAAAAAATGATCATAGATCTGTGTCAAAAGATGTGAGCAAGGATGCTCATTCCAGCAGGATTCACAGCACTTCCAAACAGTGACTGCCCGAGGATCCAGCAGTGGTGGAACATACAATAACGTACAACATATTTATAACATGAGGTGGTGTTTAGTACAGCACATGAGCAACTTGCAATAATATGTAAAATAACATGAATGTATCTCACAAATGCAGAGGCTGACCTAAGAGGGTATGTACCCTATGATCCAATTACATCAAAATAAAAATCAGGCAGTAATACATTTTTTAAAAATTGGGGTTCTAGTTACATTAAGTATGCTCATGTCATGGAAATTCATAACCTGCACACTTATAACATCTGTTTCCTGTATCTTTGTCATGTTTTGATAAAACATTTGTTTGCATAAACACAGGGTTGTGGTTTGCATGTGAAAGGCCTTCCATAAACCCACGTTTGAATGCTTGGTCCCCAGCTTGTGGCACTATTTGGGAAGGTTGTGGAACCTTTAGGAGGTGGAGCCATACTAGAGGAAGTATATTACTAGAGGCGGGCCTTGAGGTCTTCTAGCTGGGTTCCACTTCCTGTTCTCACTCTGCTTCCTGTATGGATGCAATGTGAACAAGCAGTCTCCTGCTCCTGTCACATGCCTTCCCCACCATGATGGACTATATCCTCTTGGAGCTATAAGCCAAAATCAACCCTTTCCTCCTCAAGTTGCTTTGGTCTGGTATTTTGTCACAACAATATGTGAAGTAACTAAGGCAGATAGTAACCTATCCAAAATGTCACATCATTTTATAGCAATGAATCAGTTTCTAGGCTAAGTGGTGAGGGGACAATGTGATCTGCTGACCACAGTGATTAACCAGGTAGTGATATGACAGCAACTTAGCTCGCCAAAAAGACAAGGTGTAAGATCACAATGAATAATTACTGGGAATTCCCATCATTTACAAAATACAAGGTCACATACATGTGATATTCTTTAGCTGTGTATTTACACAGGCAACAATCCTTTTAAATACAGAGCTATAGTCCTACAAATAGAATCATTCTCCTTGTTCTCTCCTGGAGTTAAGCAAACTCTGGGAATGCTATCGTTCTAAGCAGTCCACGTTCAATGGCAGTATTGGTCGGTGGCTGTCTATTGCACTGTATATTTTAGCCCCAGCTATGAGCTGCTCCAGGGTAGGGCTGTAGTCTGTGACATGACACTCTAAGGAACTCAGCCACATCAGGGAGCTTGGGGGAAATCGTTGCGTTCCCTCCTGCTAGGGAAGGGTTTCCCCAAAGGAGGCAGGTATTCCTCTTTAAAAAATGTATCTCCCTTCCTCCTCCCCACTCTGTGGTCCTCTCACATCCACTTTCTCAGCTTCCTTTCAGACAAAGTGGTACAACTGTCCTCTGAGGCTCATGGGAATACTTCCTGATAAAAACTAGAGGTTTCTGGGCCCAGGACCACTATGACAGAATCCAGCTGTGCTTCCTCACCAACTCACATGTACATCCTTGGCACAGGGGTTTCCTGAAGACTCACCTGGGGTGTCATCCCATGGCAGATGTACACAATGGGGACGTTCTCTGTATCTGGCCCCTGATCAAGACACAGATCAGTCTTCAGGGAATTCTGCAGCTGAATGCCAGAGGAAACATGGCCATGCCCAAGAGAAAAGAAGAGAAAAAAATAACACATGCATTAATATAGGAGAGGCAAGCATTTCCCCAACACAGACTCATCTTCTTAATCAACCCCAAGTCCCTGAACACTATGCATCATCAGGCCCCAGCTTTTGCTTTGTGTAACAGCGTGACTAGGGACAGGCCTTCATGCCATGAGAAACACTCACATCTCATTAGACAGCGAGCTGGCTTTGGGGAGCTAAGGTTAAGTAGAAATGGGACATGTATAACAAGAAACATTAGGGTCTTCCACACCCACCCCATATCCAGGAATGGGATAGTGGCTTTCAAGGGTGCCTGAAAGTCTTTGCTCTTGAGAGTTGGGGAAAGTAGTTAACATGTTAGTTGTTTTGAGGATGGGAGGTCCTCTGAGATCAGGTGTTCTGTGCCTCCAACAGATCCAGCAGGGGCCTGGCCAGGCCCCAAGGAGTTTTCTAGCTTGTGATGACCCTCCAGAGTGGAAGGCCTGAGGAGAGACTGAGAAAGGGAGAAGGGGTTGAGCGGAAGCAGAAGACACATGAATCTTTTACTCTCACCTCCAGTCTTGTTTCCTTCCCATGAAAATGAGGATGACCACAGTGCCTGCCTCCCAGGACTGTTATGAAGATTAAGCAAAATAGTATCTGCAAAGGCTTAGCACAGAGCCTGGTGCCCAGCACATATGCTGTATTTGTTAGCTGCTACTGATTCTGCTGTAACCTTCCTGAAAGCCATTAGGGAAAACTAGCTTTTATGAATGCAGCTAGGTGCCAGGAGCCATGTGATGTGCTTTCTGCATGAATCGCATCTAGTTCTCAAAAGAATACTGCCAGGCCAGTAATATCTCTTTTAAGGATAAGGGAACCATGGTGTGGCAGCAAGTGCCGTCTCACTTCCCTGTCTGGGATGCTATGCTATCCCCATGCTTTTCCAGGTATCCTTGTTTTGGTCTCGTTATAAGGTTACTCTTTCCTTTGGGAGCTCAGCTTGCCTGAGACCCTGGAAGCCCAAGTCTAAGAGTGAGACCACTGCTCTATGCTCTTCCATCACGCTGATGTCCCTACTGTAGCACTGGACGTGTTGCTGTCTTCTGGCTTTTTCACTCGCCCATGTCCCATTCGTCACTAGGACTGAATCGCAGTCCTCTCTGTAAACTGCACAGGCCAGGGCATGAAGCAGATGGTTGCTACTTGTCCAACAAGTGCGTGCAGAAGATGAATAAATGAATGACACTGTTGCTATGTAGATGGCAGAGCTTCAGTCTCTCTGACTCTGGAGCCCAAGCTCTTTCCGTCACACATGTGGATGACATCCCGAGACTGTAAAAGGCGACCCGTGAAATGGATTGCTATAGGCATCAAGGCTGTGCACACTGTCAAGGTTGCACAGCAAGTAAGAGCAGTGTGTTTAGAAGCCAGGCAAGTCTGATCCCAGGAGCTTCTCCATCACTCTCAGCACCAGAGCTGGAATTCATCCAAAGCTACCTCATCTCCCAGACAGAGAGCTTAGTAATTCAGGGAAACCCATATCCATACAATGGGGCCCACAGCTCCTTCAGCCTGAAGGAGCAGTAACGCGACCTATTAAAAGATTAATGGTCTGTCCTGTAGCTTTGACACTGGCCTGACTGAACGACCCAGAAGTTTACTTGACCTGAACGATGTAGTTTGGGTGTGAGCTGGAATAGAAAAAAGATAAAAAAGAAATGCTGCCCTTGCAAAGACATCTAGCCTCTGCATTTCAGAATAAAACTAATTACCAAGAAGAACAATTCAGACCCAGCAAATGTTCTTGCTCCTGTGACTGCATCCTGCATGGCCCACATTAAGAGTTCATGATGCTCCTGGGCCAGCAAGCGTGTCTTTGATCAGGAAGAAGCCCAGGCACTGGTGTTATTATAGAGGAGACAGAGAGGAGAGGCTGGCTGGACCCTGAACAGTGGCTGACAGATGAACACATACAGGGTCAGTGACCTCCACAGCCCAGCCCCATTGGGAGGATGTGTGGCTTTCAGTGTGAGCAAGTGCAGACAGCCTGAGTTATGGGCTCAGAAAGATTGGACACAGCCTTGTACCTGCCACCTACTGTCTGATCAAACAAACATTTCTGGGTCTGGAATCAAGGCTCTCCAAGATAAACTGGATGTGATGAGACACTTTAGCTTGGAGGATGATTGTACATTTGGCCAAGACCTGGAGGTATAGTGGCCACATGTAGACACTCGCCCTGTAATTGCTTCCTCTGCCTCTCTTGGTGAGTTTAACTAACCCTATTCAGGTATAGTGGATGGGCCTCCTGAAAACGTGAGTCTAGAAGCTGGCCCTGGCTCACAGAGGTTTGGATTCAAAGTTTCTTTGGAGCTACTAGTAGCACCAAGAGTGGCCAAGTGGCACATACAGCTGCTATGGGGCAGAGTGTGGGGTACGAGGAGAGCTGGGTCCTTGGATGGTTCCAGTAAGGTAGAAGGAACTGATGTACCTTACAGTGCAATGTGTTTCTATGGAGAGGGAGGATCTGGAACCCTGGGCAGCAGATGAACAGCATCAGCTGCAGTGATGCTCTGACCTCCGAGTCCCACCAGCCTGAGAAGTAGAGAGGTAAGAGGCCCCCATTTTGGGGTACAAACCATGAGTGGAGACTCTCATAGAAGGATAAAACTTATTCCTACAAGATGGTTCCCAGACAGCTGAGACCTGGGGCGTTTCTGGGGTCCCAGATCTGAGTTCTTTAGAACCACTGAGTGTTCAAGTTAGGAGTCTCAGAGACAGGCTGAGTCCAGTCACTCAGCAAAGATTCTTTCCACTCCCAGGCAGGTTCTCTGTCATGTTCCCTGGTGGGGAACTCAACTCTGGCCATAAGACACCAAAGAAGCCTCAGCTCTGCCTTCAAGCTTTCATCTTAGAATTTCAGAAAAGGCCCAAGGGGACGCGCTCCAAAGCAGAGGACCAAGGTGACTCCAGCTGGCATTTTAGGCTCAGTTTCACCACTGATGGTTTGTGTGAGTGAGACAAGTCACTTTTTGGCCTGTTTCTTCATCTGTAACTGAAGACAATACAGCCACCCCACTGAGCAGTCTCAAGGGTTTAACTGTCACAGCAAAAGCATTATATGTTCAGACTAGAAGTCAGCAGAAGAGACAGCCAAACATCAGTCAGGGTCCACTTAAAACGCTTTAAGAGCCTTGAGGTCCTGGGACTATTGGGGTAATAGATGGATTTATCATGTTCAAAGTATTAGAAAAATATTTCTCAGACTAGCCTCTATCCAATGAGGACAATATTAATTTACTCCATTTAACAGATGAAGAAACTGAGACCCACAGACCATAAGATGCTTACCTGGGAGGAGGTCAAGATCTTATTCAACTTTTTCATTTTAATTGTGCTGGGATTGAACCCGGGGCCTTGTGCATGCTAGGTAAGTACCCGACCAGTGAGCTATAGTCCCTCAAAATAGAGTAAATTCAGGAAAGTTCTGTTTCTCAAAACTTCCTAGGGAGGTCCCAGATAAGGGAGGAAGGCATCAGCCTAATGGTCGGGAGGTACACACATAGGTAGTTAAAGAACCCCAGTCATCCCAGCTTGGAGTAAGCTAACGTCTTTCTTGCCCATTTTATTAAGTGGAATATTGCAGGTCTGGGGCCACAGCTGGGGGACTGTAAAGGAGAGAGACATTTCTCTCTCATGGGGCTGAAAAGGTTTGTGCTGTGAATGCAAATCCTCTTGCTGAGTCCCTTGCTTTATGAAAATTATCTATATAGGGGTGCAAAGGCTTGTCCCTCTTTCCCCTTCCTCTCAATACCCCTCTCTGATCTTGCTTTCCTTGTACATTTAAATGAAATCCATAGACACTGGTTCCTTACCACTCCATAGGCGATGATGTCTGAGTACATCCTCATCTCCGGGTACACACTGACCAGGTACCACCGGAAGGTCTTACACTGCAGCCGCTTCCTCAGAGCCTTCCTTTCTGTGATGTCTCCGATGTCAATTCCTGAGTCCTGGGTAGGAAGCAGGGAGAGAGATAAGCCACCACCAAGCTTGCTGATCTCAATCTTGTTTTCTTTCTGTACACTGGGCATGAGCCAGAGCCTCCAGCCAAGAGTCACAGAGACTTTCTAGTGGAGGTACCCTGTGGGGTGCTGACTTATGTATTCTGCACTTAACCCTCATCTCATACCATCTGGAATCTGAAACATGAGGACAGTATTGATGGGGAATGTATTGTATAAAGTAAGGGTACCGAATCCTTGACTTTATGTGACAGTTTAAGACTGGACTATCAGCTTTGATGAGACCAAATGGCAGAGCCTTTCTTGGGATGGCCTCCCTGGTTCCCTAAAGTTCTGAGTTCTCAGCTGTCTTCCTGTACCTAGGATTCTCTCTCCTATGATCTAGTAAAAGATAGATATAGATAGATGATAAATAGCTAGATAGCTAGATGATAAATAGCTAGATAGACAGACAGGTAGCTAGACAGATGGATAGATAGCCTCTCTCTCAGGTCTCTTCATCTGTACCTTATCCTAGGAGCATCCAGAGTAAGCCTCCTGCTTATCTGCAACTTTTGGATTGTCAAGTCCCTCCCTCTTCCTGTTTATTAACTGACTTTTACTTTTCAGTTTCAAAGATTCACCTTGCCTGCACTGTGCGCTTACTGTCAACGGCATCATACCCTTTTCAGAGCAGAGCGCATTGAGAAATATGTGGTCTTTTTTAGGTAAGGGCACCTTGGCCCTTATTATTAAAAAACAATAAACACACATTTCTCTTTCGCCAAACACCTAGTGGAGTTGGTCGATTTTTCTCCTCCAAAATCCATGTCTGCCTAGAACTTCTGAATGTGACTTTACAGCTTCTTTAAAGATAGACTTAGTTTAGCAATCTCTCAAGATGAAGCCATCTTGAATAGGGAAACCCCAAATCCAATGACTAGTATTTTTGTAAGAGAAAGGAGAGGACCATTTGCATACACAGGCATATATGAAGGAGAGGCTTGCAGCTACACAGCAGAGATTAAAGTGGTGCATCTGCAAGGCCAGGAAGGCCAGGAGCCACCAGAGACAAGCTGAGGCAAAGAAGGATGATTCTCTAATGCTACTAGAGGCAGCATAGCCTGGCTGGCACCTCAATTTTAGATTTCTGGGTTCCAGAATCTTGAGAGGATATATAATAATAGAAATAAAATAGATATAATAATAGAAAATTTTCTATTATTTTGGTTGTTAGCCTTAGCCTTTAACAGTTGCGCTATCCCTCCAGCCCAATTTCTATTATTTTAAGTGACCAAGTTTCTGGCTACTTTGTTTGGGCTAGAAAGTTAATCAAGCTGGCTACCCCTAAGTGACTCAATATTTCTGCCACAGTCACAAAATTCCATGTGTCCAAACCTTAAAAGCCATCCACAAAGCAACAGGTGCTCGAGCATCCCTAGCACTCAGGCTGTCTTTAGGAAGGGGAAGCAGCAGCTGGTCTGGGGTTCCTGAACCTCGCACAAGAAAATACTGATGTTTTGCCACAGGCAAACTTTCTGTGTATCGATAGGTAAACTGCTTTTCAATTAAAGTAATAAGATCAAGTGCTTCTCTGGAGCCTTCTCTGGCCTCTCTGAAGTTTGGGTTGAAAATGATGAAGGAGCAGTTCTGTTCCACGCCTAGCCCAGGGGAGGAGGGCTTTGCAGGGCAGTGGATGAGAATGGGGGAGAAGAGCACAGGGCATGAGCAACAGCACTGATGGCATGAGTTAACACTTATTTAGCGCTTTCTGGGTGCTGAGTACTGCTCAGAGTCTTGACATATTTTATCTGTTATAATTCTTCAGGCAGACACCTGGGCAGGGCTGAAGGCTTCCAGTTCTGTATTTGCAGCCAGGTTGCTGGCGAGGAAAGGTGAGTAAATTGGTAACAGATGTGCCGGTGGTTGAGCCTATAGTGGCGAGAAAAGCCACATCAAGGACAGCTGGAAGCCTCCTGGGAAAATATGTGGAGCAGGTAGCAGGCACGCCTCCTCCACTTCCTCTGTTTGTCAACTGTCTTTACCAAGTGGCTGTTTATATGTGTTCGACAGTCATATATATAAACAGGAACACCTCACTGCCTGTGCCTGAAAGGAAAGTCTGAAGAGATGGAGACAATCAGACTCTCTGTACACAGTGTGAGGCAGGGAAGGCAGGGGAGAGTCAGGGAGACGAGGAGAAGGGGAACCCATAATCCAGCTTGGGGTGTGAGACAGCAGGGAAGTGGGACAGGCACCAGGTGAGCTGTCAAAGAAAGCTTCCTGGTATCCAATACGCTTGAGGTGAGTCTCAAAGATGAACCCAACCCTGACTCCCTAAGTCATCACCTAATGAGCCTTCTATGGGTCTGTTAAATCTGTAAACTTACTGATTTGAATCTCCAAGAATGAAGGCTAGAGGAGTATTTTCTATGAGTTTTCCAAGCAATCTGATGCATTCGATCTGAAGATTTGCCATGGAGCAAAGAGATCACACACATGGTCAGGCTATCCCACCCACTAATATTAGCAAGGTTCTGCTAAGCTCACATGCCCTGCCTTGAGCTAGGTACTGTGACACAAACATGGATATCACAATCCTCAGGGAGCCCATAGTCTGTCACAGTGGTTCCCAGCTCCAGATGGACATTGGCTTCCTCAAAATTGCTTTCCTAAAACAGACTGCCCCCTGGGAGTCCTCCCCAAAACCAGTTAGACTGCAATCTTTAGGGGGTAGAGCCCAAGTGTTTTTAAAGTTCAACCAGATTTGAGAATGACTGAGGGTCAGGGGAGCAGACAATAGAACACTGGTTTACAGGCTAGTCATCTGATAACAGAGGGGGTTAAGAATGGGGGTTGAGGATGAGGTGAAGGGTAGGGAATTCCAAGTAGCAAGAACAAATGAGCAAGCTCGGGGGCAGCAAGATACAGAAAGTCCCCCAACAAGACATGGTGTGAGTGAACCTCAGAGGCATGTCCAGCACTGTGCTTAGAACTTGACTTTACACACAGTGGACAGCCGTTTATAGATTTTAAGCAGAGCAATGGATGACTTGTTTAAGAAGAACAGATTTGAAGGGGAAATGACTTGAACAGGGAAATCAGTTGAAGGATGCTGCAGTGGGATGGCAAGGCTTGGACTCACATGGCACCGGACATGGGACCTGATAGGAAGGCTTGGTGACTAGCATAATGGGATTGCAAGAGAGGAGGATGAAAGGACTATGATCATGTCCAACCAGATGTGTGGCAGATGGTGGCACCTGCAGATGAGGCAGGGGAGTATGGACAGGAATGGGCCTGGGGGCTAGAAAGGGGAAGACATATTCAGCTGTGGTCAGATTCAGCCTGAGCACCATGGGACAGAAGCAGGAGGCATCCAGCTGGCTGTTAGAGATGTTAGTCTGCAAGCAGGACTGGAGATATTAATTAGGAAGCTATTAGCATATGGGTGATAGTCAAATCTAAGAGCAGAGGAGATCACCCAGAGAGGCAGTATAAGGAGAGGTTGGCCAAGGGTGCATCCCTGGGGAGCATTTAAGAAGCCAAAGAGGGAAGAGGAACCCGCAAGGGAGAAAGAGACAACCAGAGGGAGGTGGGGCATCTCAGGGTATGGGATCACAGAGCCTGGAGATCACAGAATTTCAAGGAAATAGAACCTGTAGGTTAAGCATTTTTTCAGGATTTATTTCATTAATTTTTATGTGTGTGTGGGGGGGGGTATATGTGCGCGCATGCGTGTGTGCGTGCATGCGTGCGTGTGTGTGTGTTGGTGCCCTTGGAGGCCAGAAGAGGGCACTGAACCCCTCAGAGCTGGAGTTAGATACATCTGTGGGACATTCCATCCAGCTTATTCTGTAGGTGTTGGGATCTGAACTCAGATCCTTCAGCCTGAGAATCAAGACTTTTAAATGCCCAAGACATAATCTAGTCAGGAGGTTCATCCATGAGGCCTTTGGCAAAGACAGTCTTGAACTATTGGGATGTGGCTAGAGAAGTGGATGGGAGCTGGGAAAATCCCGACTCTGCAGAAATTCAAGAGCACAAAGGGAAGTCTGGAGCTGGAAGTTAACGGGGAATGCAAGACAGCACGTACATGTATATGTGTGTGTGTACATGAACGCTTGTGTGCACATGTATGCATGCATATACCTGAGCTGATCTGTGGGTGTGTTGGTGCACGTGTGTACGTGGAGACCAGACAACTTCAGATGACATTTCTCAGGTCTCATTCACCTCTTTTTTGAGATGGGGTCTCTCATTGGCCTGGAACTTAGCAAGTAAGTTAGGCTGAATGACCAGCAAACCCTAGAGATCTGCCTGCCTCTGCCTCCCCAGCACTGGGAGTACTACAAACAGGCGTTGCCACACCCAGCTTTTATTGACTGGGTTCTAGGGACTGAACTCAGGTCTTCATATTTGCAAGGGCTTTACCAACTGAGCTATCTCCCCTGAACAAGACAGTGTCTTTGTTTTTGTTTTTTGTTGTTGTTATTATTGTTTTTTTCTTTGTTTGTCTTAAAGAAACACATTAATATCTTCCTTCTCCACCCAAGGGGTTAGCCTGGGCACATCTGGGTCTCATCTATTCGCGTCCTTTCTCTCCTTTGATTTGGTTGGTGCTACTCCCTTGAGGGGTCACAGGCAGACAATGGTTTTCTCCATTTTTAAATGAGTTTTGCTCATGCAATTGTCCACCATTCACTGGGCTGCTGCCATTTCAATGTCTACTGGTTCCCATGGGGAAGGACTAGAAGGTCTGCAGCTTTGGGGGACAAAGAAGGAGGCAGGAGCATGAACAGAACTCCACTCCCACACAGAGCCTGGGGGTCTATGGTGCTCCCTAGTGAGCTCCTGGAGCATTTCTAAGTGCTCTAAACCTTTTCACCAACAGGGGACACCCACGGCTGGGCTCAGCGTCCTGTGTAGAGTACTGTGTTCCAACGCCCACAGCCTCAGATGAGTCCAGAAATACTGAGGTTTCCTTAGAAACACTTCCTGCCAGGGATGCAATTTGGAGATTCATTAGGCTTGGCATCGCTCCACCGGTGGGCCTTGGCGCCTCATTTTCCTCCCAACTGCTGAAACCTCACTGATTGTGTGAACTGGCACCCCAACTCAAGTCATCTTCCCTGGGGTGGTGGACTGTAGATGTAGCTCAGTGCTTGCCTAGCATGCATGGACACCCTGGAGTTGACTCAGAGAGGGAGTCTGCCTAAATATAATACTCAGGCCCAGCCTACTTTCTCAATAACTTAGCCAGAACAGCATGAGCTTGGTGGAAAGATCAGGGTCCAGGGCTTTCCTATGGAAAATTTAAACAAAGATCATTCATTTCCCTATCAGACAGAAGTGAGCATGTCTGAAGAACTGCAAAGGGGATGCCCAAGCCTTGGCAGGAAGGGCAGAGGCCCTTAAGTGAACAGCTTGGTCATTCAGAAGGAAACACAAGCAATGAACTCTAGACAAGCAGACAAGCGGACTGGAATCCCATGGCTGGCATCTGTTGGGTTCTTCCAACTCAGCATTTCAAGGTCACTTCTGTATCATACATGGTAAGGCTGAACAAAACTATGAGAGAAACATTGCTTCTCCTCTGGAACATTTGAATGTAAGTGATGAAAGGAGTAGGAGACAGTCCCAGGCAGGGATGAGTTTCTGTGAAGGTCAAAGACAGTCTTAAAGTGTCCACTATAATTCCCTTCTTCTAATAAGAGCCTTGGTGGGAATGTATCTCCTTTACATCCATATGACTCAAGAAATCCTACAGATGTATGGATTTTCTTTATTCTGTTTGGTTCAATGAGAAACTTGAATCCAGTCATATGGAGATTAAAGCTCATTTTGTGATTGTGCAGTCATTACTGTTGTATTTATATATTTATAATCTGAATTATGAGACACCAGAGAAACCGGGGAATGGGAAGGAAACTCAGAGCCATCTGATTCAACTTTCCTGTATGTATGTATGTATGTATGTATGTATGTATGTATGTATGTATATTTTTTGAGATAAGGTCTCATGTAGCTCAGGCTAGTGTCAAACTCACTATGCACTCAAGAATGACCTTGAACTTTCTGCTCCTCTTACCTCCACCTCCTGAGGGCTGGGATCACAGGCATGTGCTACCACACCAGGTTTTATGCAGTGCTGGGGACCAAACTTAGGGCTTCATGCATACCAAGCAAGCACTGTATCAACTTGAGCTACATTCCCATTCTCCAACTTTCATTTAAAATAGGCCACTAGGGGCTGGAGAGATGACTCAGTGGTTAAGAGCACAGGCTGCTCTTACAGAGGACTCAGGTTCAATTCCTGGCACCCACATGGTAGATAACAATGTAACTCCAGTTTCACAGGCTCTGATGCCCTCTTCTGACCTCTGCAGGCACTGTTCAACACAGGTGCACTTACTTACACGCAGGCAATATACTCATACACATACAGTAAAAGTAATACATAAAATATAAAAAATTAAGTAGGCCATTAAAGTTCAGAGAGAACACATCCTCTTTCAAGCACAGGTGGGGGTAGATAAGAAATGGCTTAGAGATTCAGCTTCAGCCCCTTCTTTGCATGTACTATGTATAAGGTTGACAGTCTATTCTAACATGGCAAATGGGACTGTGGGTGACCACGAAGAGAACTGAGTCTTGTGTTTTGTTTCAATTTTTCTCCCACCAAACTCTTAAGAAACCCAGTCTGCCTGCGCTCCCTACCTCTTGGGGTATGTTCCATGCCATGTAGACATGGCTTTTAAATTCATCCATCCAGACTTCAGCTACCCTGAGAGCGTTCCTGCGGACATGAGCAGTGAGGTCCTCTGTGTAGGGCTTATGGGCTCGCTCGATGTGGGCAATCCGAGAGCAGGGCAGGACCTCCACGCTCCCACCACACTGCCACACCTGTGGAGACAAGGATCCACTCATTAGTGCCTTTCTAAGTCAAGCCACTGACCACAACTCAACACAAGCACAGAGTGATCCAGCGTTCTCCACCTGGCCTCCCCATACCCTGCCTGCGAGGGAATGAGCTGGGTCTGATTTCTACTCCTGCAGTGGTGGAGTATTAAATCATTAATTCATGGCTTGGCTCTCATTGCCATGAATTTATCTGCAAAGGACGAATGCACTTTTTCCTTATGAGCCCCATATAGCCAAAGAGAGACCAGATATTTTGAGATCAGAGACCTGTGTTCTTGTCTTGGGGTTATCAAACCCTTCATGATGGTCTCTTCATCACTACTTAACAAAAAGGGACCAATGGAGAGAGATGTAGCAAGCTCAGCAGTTCACATTCAGATAAACCCCTGACACCTGGATTAGTGATAAAAAGAGCCAAATACTCCTCTTCTTTCTCCTCTTTCTTGGGCTCCTGAGGGAAAGCAATCAAGACCTTATGTAGACACTAGGGGTTATTTGCCAAGTGATGTCCTTTGTACGTTTATACGTATAACACATGTCCATCAACAGCAATAAGTCATGGTCTAGAACAGAGCAAAATTTGGGTTTAGTCTAATTGCCCACGTCAGTTAGGAAGACAAGGCCATTTCTTACACTGATCTGTTACACTAGTGGGTCCCTATAAGCCATGGGTACTGGAAGGCAATTTGCTGATTTATTACTTAGTGTATTATTTAGGGCCAATAGGAAAGAGACATACATTCCCACTGTGTGGAAACCATGTGCCAGGAATGGACTGTGCATGGAAGGAGCCAGTGAAACATGATGGCTGTGGACCGAGGGTTTGCGGACACACTGCCGGGGTACAGCTCCCTGGCTCCTGGCTCCTGGTATACTAGCTGTGTGACCCTGAGCAAACCACCCTTCCCATTTTTGCCCACATTTCTCCATCCCCACATCATGTACCAACCTCATGAGGTCGTGGAGAGAATGAAAGCAATTATGTGCAAAGTGCCTGGTATATCACGAGCCTTGGTAAAGCCTAGCCACCACTTTACACATGATACAGGAGAATCTTCAGAATAACCCATGAGGTCACTGTCATTATCTCCAATTCCAGGTGAGAAACAGACTAAAAAAGGCCTCTGTCCAAAACCACATGGTTGGTACTGACAACAAAAAGATCTACCTGACCCCCAAAGAAGCTCAAGGCAGAGTCAATGCCCTGGAAGTGACTGCATTTTGAGAACAGTTAGCATCTCTGGAGGTGGCTCTGAGGACCAGGAAAGGGAACACAGCAGGTCCTAGACTATCCTTCCTGTCCAGGACCCACCCATCCTGTACACTGTGATTTCCAGGGCACTTTGCTCCGACAGCCTGTGACTACTCTGCTTGCATTATTGACAACACAAAGAGCCTGAGTAATTATTCTTTCTGCATCTGGAGTGGAGTCTACTTGGCACATTTCAACAATGCAAAACAGGACATGACGCCTAGCAATGCTCCATTATTGAGACTCTGCTTCCCAGAGTTGGCTCGCCATTTCTCCTTGAAGTGGGCATGTCTGCCACCATAACCAGAGCCATGATGGTGGTGCTACCTCCATGTTTTCAAACATGAAACAGATGTGATGGACTCTGCCCCCTTCAACTATGTTGCTCACACACTGTTTGCTGCAGGAACTTTGAGTATTTCTTCCTCCAGCATTCAGTGATCTTACGGCTAGGCTTCAGCACGTGTACGGCAATCCCCGCTGCACCCTACTCCCCAAACTCAGTGTTCCAGGTATCAGTTCATGATCGCTTTCTCATACGCCATTCAACCAGATTATCCCAGGCTCTGCAGTCTCTGCCTCATCTTCCCCCAACTTACCACCACTGCCTGTTTAATCATCCCCTTGAAGCCCTTCATCAAATTCTCCTTCCGATATGTGCTAAATGGTACTCAAGTTGGATCAGTGGGTTTCCAGGAGAGGTGGGACAGCTGATGGCTGGGAGCTAAATGACATGCTTAATAGCACAGCTTTGGGGTCAGTGAGGACTGGATTCAAATCTTACCTCTGCCACCAGTTTATATATAGCTTATAGGTTGGCAGGTTATGTCCCCTCCCAAGCCTCCATTCTACCCAGTGGAAGAGAGTGATACCGAGTGGGGAGGTGGTTAGCCCTGTGCCTGCAATCAGTGTGGACACTACATGGGTGGTGATTGAGGAAGTAAAGGCATCAGACATGTGGGCAGGACATTTCAGCTCATTTCTGCTCTGCCATCCACCACATAAATGGTGCTGTTGGGTCACTTGCACCCTGGTTTAGAAAGGTCACATGATGGGGTAGTTCCCAGAGCTGTGACCTTAGGAATCCCCTGATGTGGTGTATCAGTCTGTGCTGATAACTGTTTTATAATAATTGTTAAAATTGCTGCTATTTGACTTTTCTGCACATCCAGCAGTAGAGGACAAGTTACCATCCCAGCAAGCACAGAGACTAGGAGCCCTTGTTAACCTAGTCTCCTTTCTTCTGTGAAAAGGAACTCATCTGGGAAGGGGCACATTTGCCTTGGATACAGTCTGTGGGCTCTTGGCAGCATCTGGTCTTTGGAGCAGAAGATATAGATTTGGCATGTATACCCATTAATTTTGGGAGCCTACCAATGACACTGACATAATCTAGGAAAGGCCTGTGTTTATCCATTCCTGACAGATGACTCCACTGACCAGTGCATTGACCCAAGAGAATCTCTGAAGTCTTGTCCACAGGGGATCTCAGAGCTGTTCTCTAAGATGGCAGACAGGGGCTAGGAGAGGAAACCGCTGGCATCTGGGTGCATTGAAGATGCCAACAAGCTTCCATGGAGGGTTGGGAGGGGCAGGGAATGAAGAAATGAGAAATCAAGCTGGCCTTGGCACAGGAAATGCCCAGTGCCCAATGGCAAACTCCCAGGCAGATGAAGGATATGGATTGGAAGGATTCGGTTAAAAAAATGTGAGCCACTGGAAAGAAGGTGGGTTCCAGGGGAGGGGATGCCAACAGGCACTGGGAAGGGAGGTGGGTATCGAAGGGGTGACCGAGAAAGGAAGATCAATAGGTCACAGGAAACAGGGAGCAAGATACACATCCTAAGGTGAGGGCATGTACTGATTCTTACAGACACTGGGGACACTGGGCAGGGTGCCAACCCCAGGCTGGATCCCAGCTCTTCTGGAAGACCATTGAGCAGTACCCTTCCGGACCACAGCCCTTTGCTGTCTCTGCCTTCATACCTGTTAATCCATCTCTCTTCAATCATTATCTCACTTGTTAATTCACTCAAATATCAACTTCTTTGACCCTCCTAATCTAAGCTAGACCCTCTCTGAACACCTTTAGTGCCCACTTTACAATTTTTTATTTTATTTATTTTTTATTTTGTGTGTATTAGTGTATTGCCTGAATGTATGTAGGTGCATCCATGTTGTGCAATGCCTGTGAAGGTTAGAAAACGGTATCAAATCCCTTGGAAGTGGAGTTATAGACAGTTGTTAGTCACCATGTGGGTTCTGGGAATCGAACCCTGGTCCTCTGCAAGAGCCATCTCTCCAGCCCCCACTCTTTTTTTCTTAATAACACTTATTCATACTTTAATTATGTACTTATTCTTTAAATGTCTCTCTCCCAGAACTGCAGTCTAACCTTCCTGAAAACAAGATTATGCCTACATGTTTACCATTGTATACATCAGCCGTGCCTCTTAGTATCTATTCAATAACTGTTAATGTGAATGACTGAATTTGAGAGTCCTGGATTTTCTTGACTACAGAGACACAGTTTTAACTAGCTCAGCTGGATGCCCTAATAAAGGCCATAAATGTAAAATGTGGCCAGATTTTATGGAACACAATGACTTCCTTCAAACCCAAGTGGTTTTTCAGAAAAGCTCTGCCATTAACGTGCAAACTACTGCCACCAAAGAGACTTACTTTAGCTGTAGAGCTTAAATTAATGTCATAAAACCTGGGAAGTCATCAAATGTGTGGGGACTGGGGTCATCAGGTTTCTCATGCAGAATCAGGTACTCACTACAAAGAGGTTCCCAGACCTCCCAGATGCTTAGACACACCTCCAAAGGAGCTTCTGGTCCTGTCCCCCAGATGTGACCGGTAACCTAACACAGAATGTAGACAGCAACTCCCCAGGGCAGGGCTAAGTCCTCCTCACTACTAGACCTTTCTGGAAAGCCAGAATCTAGTTGCCATCTCTGAAAAGGCTTTAAGCACCCACAAGGAAGCCTTCATGAGGGTTTTAGGGACTGGTGGAAAGGGTTCAAATCCTGATACTGCCACATATGAGCCATTGACTTGGATTTGTCTCTGAATGCCAGTTACCTTTCTCTTGGGAATAACGTCTAGCTGGGGAGGTAAAAGAGACACACACAATCTGAACAACTCTGGCTAGCAAAGCTAGCTGTGTAGACGGGTCTCAGGAAGTTGGGTCCCTTTCTCTCTAAGACAGAATTCACTGGTACAAAGTCAGGGTCATGTCTGTGTCTGGTGACATAATCCAGTTCTTACTTTACCAAACTATCTATCAGGATCACAAAACTCAGATGTTTTAGATAGCCCTGTGTCTTAGTTTGTTCTTCATTGCTGTGACAAAACACTCTGACCAGTACCAACTTGGGGAGGAAAGGGTTTATTTGTCTTACAACTCCCAGGTCACAGTTCATCAGGGAGTCCAAGGTAGGAACTCAGGGCAGGAACCTGGAGGCAGGAGCTGGAGCTCAGGCCATGGAGGAATGCTGCTTACAGGCTTGCTCCTTTGGCCCCTGCTCAGCCTGCTTTCTTATGCAACACAGGCCCACCTGCCCAGGGTGGCACCACCCACAGTGGGCTGGGCCCTCCCACATCACTCATCAAGAAGATGCCCTTCAGACATGGCCACAGGCCAGTCCAATAGAGGCAATTTCCCGATTGAGACTCCCTCAACCCAGGTGTGTCAAGTTGACACTAAAGCTATCCAGCACACCCT